CATTCACCAGCTGTCGTGTATTATGTCATTTTCCTTTGGAATGATTTACATCAAGCTATATAGTAACACACCAAGAAACAGCCACAAAGAGACCGTCTCTTTACAAGGGTTTTGTTGTTATGAGCTATATCATACCCGTGAAGATCCGGGTGAGAATTGGTCTTCAGTAACTCATGCTTGACGTGCGTAAGAGGCGACTAATGGGGATCGAGTGGTCATGCTCGCTGACTTGTTTTACTTGTCATCGGTTCCCAATTGCGTAGATTGATTCTCATGATATTGATTATTTACAGACTATCGCCATATATCTGGAATATTGCTGAGTGTGGCGTTAAACAATTAACCAACCAAATGAACGAGTGAGTGAGTTTAGTTTTACGCCGCTTTTAGCAATATTCCAGCAATATCACGGCGGGGGACACCATAAATGGACTTCACACATTGTACCCATGTTGGGAATCGAACCCGGGTCTTCGGTGTAACGAGCGAACGCTTTAACCACTAGGCTACCCCACCGCCCCCTACCAAATGAGCTATATCACACACCAATTTAATCGCTTCTTACGAAACAGACAGATGGAAGGGTATTGTTCATTGAAAACAATATTGAAATATTGAATATTGAACTGTCCACGCTTATTACAGCAGGGATAATATGTGCCCATTTTAAATGTATATTTGACACAACCATGATAATAATGTAAAGGGCGAATGGATACAGGGTGATTTTCATTTTCTCCGAAAGTTCTGAATCGTTTAGAAATAGTTACATAGTATCATTACAAAACATAAAAGGTCATTGAAGAGTTTGATTGTATCTGAAACAGCTCAGGCTGATAAATACACACTTGTTGACGTCACCAGGCCTCTGTGGGTAAACACAATCAGAGCAAGATATGCATATGATATACATTACTGGATATATGATCAAGCCTGTGACGAACTGTGTCCTACAATAAAAACCCGTATAGTGTGAGCTTCCCTCATGGGTCAGTCAGGTAACCTTAAAATCTTTCTTAAACATGAATTCAAGTTTGTTTGAATATTCATATTTTCATTTGATTTGTTAAAAGGTGAATGTTGCAAAAAGAAGATCACAGAGTTGTCACTGTAAAGAACCAGACATTAAATACTCTAGGTACCGTTACACAAACTGATTTTAATGCCAAAATATCATCGTAACTACAATATTGTAACACAGATTTAGGACAGACAGGTAGATTAGTAGGACAGGGCCTTGAACGGCACTGTGATAGATGTGTTTGAGACATGATACATTTCATCTGAAAGGTCACGTATTAAAATTTTACTTTCAGCCAACTCATTATTTTCGGAACATCAAGAGAACGATTTCTTTTCATAAAACCTCCAGACAAATTATCTTCTTTCAGCCTTCAGAATAGCACATGATATCTTATCAACAAAGGGTTACATATTACCCTTTACTCTTATTGGTGTTAATCATCAAGCCAAGAACAGTAATGTTCTGGTATTAATCAGGTTGTACACTTCTAATATAATGTCCCCACTGTTGTATATCAGCAAGTTAAACCAAGGATAGTCAAGTCAAAACCAGAGCACTGACTGACTCTAAACGACGGGCAGTACAAGTGGTCACGTCAAGACCAGAGCACTGACTGACCCTAAACAACGGGCAGTACAAGTGGTCACGTCAAGACCAGAGCACTGACTGACTCTAAACAAGGGACAGTACAAGTGGTCACGTCAAAACCAGAGCACTGACTGACTCTAAACAAGGGACAGTGCAAGTGGTCACGTCAAAACCAGAGCACTGAATCACTCTAAACAACGGGCAGTACAAGTGGTCACGTCAAGACCAGAGCACTGACTGACTCTAAACAACGGGCAGTACAAGTGGTCAAGTCAAGACCAGAGCACTGACTGACTCTAAACAACGGACAGTACAAGTGGTCACGCCAAGACCAGAGCACTGACTGACTCTAAACAACGGACAGTACAAGTGGTCACGTCAAGACCAGAGCACTGACTGACTCTAAACAACGGGCAGTACAAGTGGTCACGTCAAGACCAGAGCACTGACTGACTCTAAACAACGGGCAGTACAAGTGGTCACGTCAAGACCAGAGCACTGAATGACTCTAAACAACGGGCAGTACAAGTGGTCACGCCAAGACCAGAGCACTGACTGGCTCCAACCAACGGACAGTACAAGTGGTCAAGTCAAGACCAGAGCACTGACTGGCTCCAACCAACGGACAGTACAAGTGGTCACATCAAGACCAGAGCACTGACAGGCTCCAACCAACGGACAGTACAAGTGGTCACATCAAGACCTGTGCGCTGAATGGCTCCAACCAACGGACAGTCTATAATGGCCATACCAGTCAAAATAGGGCATGTTGCTTTGTATAAAAGGTAACTCAATCCGTAGAATTAATATATCACCAAAGTGTTCATGTTTGTTCATGTAGCTGGACGTCATTTAGCTGGGCGTAAATAGAATGCTGCCCAGCCTTCCTTGGTTCACATGGAACATTCACATTGGCCGTTCAGCATACTCCAGTAGTTTGTAAATTAACCCCCTGTTCGTAGGTTCGCGATCTGTGTGTGTCGGTAGATGGCGGGCAAAGAAAGGGGTAATGGGGTTTAGCATGAAACCACTGGCTCATGAACATACAGCGACATGCCCAAACACAATTCGGAAGTGTGACATACACCTCCTTTAAATGATAACGTCACCGTTATGTATATATGCTACTGCACGATTGCGGAAATGCATATGTCATTAACTGCAATTACAGCTGTACGAAACCTTGGGGGACAAATCGATACAAGTGCTCCAAAGTAATATTAAAGTCTAACTCTTGATTCCACCAAAAAACTGTTGTAATTAACACATGTGTTGTGTTTTGCAGATTTAGCTTCCACTTCCAGACCAACTAAACGTTTTGCATTCTGTGCCCAAACATCGTGTTCCCCGCTGTAATATTACACTCAGGAGAAGACACTAGTTCTGATCTTGTTGAGTCGGGTCACACGGACAATGTTTTAAGGTTGGTCGGCACCATACCCAGTTCCGTGGACATTCCTCCAAGATTATAAACGCTTATTTTTTCGGGTTTCCCTCCAACATTAATCTTACACGTCAAAAACCTAATAATTATTGAAAGCAACAACTATCTCCCGCAATGGCGTGTGTAACAAATGACAAGTTCAGGCATGATGTTCCGGCCCTGACCTCTTAATTTCAGGTACATATGTCTCATGCGTAGATGCAGCATTCCATTGATTAACGCGAAGAAACAAAGTATGTAGAATTGTGTGTTCGGATTCTGTCGTTGTCGAGAATAATATCAAAGACGTCAGTGTTTGAAGAGAGCCGAAAACAAATCCCAATTTGATGTGGCTAAAGCATCTACACAGTCTATTGAGATAATGGGCAATTTGTACCGTTATTTCAATGCGCACCATATTCACCTAGAAGCCAGATGGAAGTACCACATCTCATATGGTAAATGGATTAATGTTCAAAATACGAGCAGTGACACAGCATGGACAGGCCATATAATAATTTGTTTCAATGTATTATTAGGGAAACCAACGGATTCCAGCTGTTAACGGCTTAGACCACTGAGACACAGATGCCCTTTCAAAGCTAGTGAACGTGACGGGCTTAAGGTATGTAAAATACACACCATGGTCGGAAGAACAGAAAATATTTCTAAATGAAACGTAAGGTCAGATCTGAATGGGTTAATCAATGACAAGGTGTGGGGACTGTTTGTGTGTTTATTTGTAGTACATGTTCAACGCCTCTCAACAGTATTCAAGCTACCAATTCAGTCTACGACGTAAATCAACTGTTAACGGTACTCACATTCTTCAGTTCCTCCCACGTTTGCAGACATCATCATTTGTTTTATTGGTCGCTTTAAACTATCAGAATCTCTGGTGCAGTAAGATGAGGCAGATTTGCTTACTTCCAGGGAAAAGATTGAATCTGCACTTGCTTCAGGCAATGGGTCTGAATTTTCAGAAATGGAAAAATTAGACTTAAAGTTTCTAAGATGACAAAGCAGACAAAGCCCGGATTTATTGCTAATTTCTAAGAACTAACATTAAAGGTACTATATGTCCCTTTCTTGTGTTAGTTAGTGTCGATTATACTGGACTGACAACACATTAATCTGGTCTGGTAACTTTAAACGTTTACAATCAGGTTGACTGGTTGATAGTTTGAAGACGGTTATACACTGCAAATATACCTGTTGACATTCTTAATTTACCAAGTTGATATACGGTAGTTGCCAAGCAACCTTCCCCAAGAGTGTTTCGGGTTGTGATAGCTGCTGATCAACATAATTTGTTCGCGCAGTCAATTTCAGGCTCAGTGATTAAGTTGACTGCGCTTAATCTGTCCTCGACTGTTCATAACATCAGTCATGTATTACCTTAAGTCCATACTCAATTCTTGTCGTGAAACAAACCCAAATGGATGGGAAATGTAGGTTCAATGTCAATACACAGCAGTGGCAGCCCCCGCTCTCATGGTATTGTCAGAAGAAGGTATAGCCAGCTTACAATTTATAACAAATGATTACTCAAACAATGCATTTTGGGCAGAAACTCTCCACCGAAACACTGTCATACAAATGCAGAGTATTTACGTTAAAACATGGCACCTATGTGCCCAGAACCTTTAATGACATGACATGGGTGACTGGGTTAAGATGTATAGTCACATCGGCAATATCATGACGACAACAAGGCATACACTGATAATAGATAATGTTACAGTATTATTTCTGTTAAAAAAGGGCAATAAATCAATAAAATATCACTGATATAGAATATAAAAGTAGCATATGAAAACGGGCTGTAGAGACCATGGGGACTTACAGTGTTTTTATACCTACATGGACCCAGCTGGATTTACATCCTCCTTTCAGATGTTGGCCATATTGACAATTTTAGCCACGACTAAACCGAACATGTATCCCACGATTACAAACACTTACATACCTTTCAGGAGGACAATATTTTAACTATCTTTGAGGATAGAGCCACTAACAATTATAATTGCTAATTTAATATAACCTATAAGAAAGTATTATTTGTCTATTGCTTTAAAACGTAAAAAAATAGGAAAATTAGCATTATCAAAAAGACCTTTGACTGCTTTTTTACACTGAAATATTTATTTCAAGTAATGGAAAAATCAATAAAGTCAAGCATGACTTTATTCAAGTAAGTAACAGCTTTGAAAGAAAGGAGAACTTTAAGTCACCATTAACATGCTGCATTAATCATTATTAAGAAAAAAGATTAATATAAGAACCACGAATGCGACGCCATTCACAGACGCAAACAAAATAGGAGATAAATATATTTTAAAATAACATCTAATTCATTACGTAGCTGAAAAGGGCCCGGAAAATATAAAATTGGTGTATTAAATATGATTATCAAAGTCAGAACTGGGGAAGTGTCTTCGTTCTCAGTATTTGTTACAAGGTTATTTTACCTTCTACCAATAACGACGTGGAATACTGGACAAACATAACGCCATGACTCTTCCTCTAAGCTATAGATGATGAATGTCTTCTAATGGCCACTTGTCGCCAGGAGGTGGCTATTGAAGGTATGAGATTTCAGATCGGGCATCAGGTCAGAGGAAGTAGAACAGAGGCTTCACAGCTCTTCATCTTTTCAGGCGTTTTACTGTTCAGGTCATACTGATATATACTCAGCAGCAAACAATCGTCAGTACGAATTCAAAATGAGATCAAATCATAACAGAAATGGACATAAAAGCGGATCAAAAACAATTTTTGTGTACAATATCTTGACACATCCATGAATAACTCAGCACATGTTCAAGACATTACGTGAACGTTTGCAGTCCATTCAGACTCTTGACTTCAGTATCTAGTGTGACCACCACGAGCGGCAAGAACCGCAGCACAACGTCTGTGCAGGCACTGCACCAATCTATTGATGAAGGCCATTGGCACCTGGAACCATACTCTGAGAAAGGCCTGGCGCAATAAATCGGCTGTGTTTGGCCTTGGTATGACATTATTCAGTCTCCTCTGAATTTCATCCCAAAGATGTTCAACTGGGTTTAAATCAGGACTAAGAGCTAGCCACTGCATAATGTTGACACCGTTCTGCTGTAGGAAGTCCCGTGTAGCTCTGGCGTATGTGCCTGGGCGTTATCATGCTGGAAAATGTTGTTCCGGTGACGTGCGAAATGTAGTATGACGTGGGGTCTGAGAGCTTGGTCGATGTAGCGCACTGCTGTGATGCCGCCTCCTCTCCCTAGACCAAGGTTCTGGAACACCACAGGACCCACTCTCTGGTTCAGGCCTATTCCACCCCATGCCATGATGCTTGCACCTCCCCATGAGTCTCTTTCCATAACACATTGGTCTGAGTAACGCTGGCCACGTCGTCGCCATATTCTTGTTCTGCCATCTGCAATTGATACGCAGTACCGACCCTCATCTGTAAACAGAACAGTTCTCCATTGCCTGTATCGCCAGTTTTGGTGTTGAAGGGCAAACTGTAGACGTTAACGCCGACGGCGAGGGGGTGAGGATAGGTCCACGGTGAGGTCTACGGCGGCAATGGAGGTTCCCGCTGTTAAGACGTCGGCGTACTGTATCAGTACTGATTGGTCTTCCGTGTGTTCCCACTGTCTGGTGTGCTGTTTCGGATGCCTGCTTGAAGGGATTCTGTACATGCTGTCGCACATCATGGTGGTCTTGTCGTCTTGTGGTCACCCTTGGTCTGCCAGTACGGGGGCGATCATTTGTGGTGTTGGTGGCCCAGAAACGTTGCTGCAGCCTGTAGATGGTCCAAACGTTGACCTAGAAGTGATTGCCAACGGCTTGTGCCGTGTGGCTAGCTTCAAGTCTTCCTAGCGCCTGATTCCTCTGAGCTGTCGTGAGTCGCGGCATCCTGCTGACGTTGTAATGTGAATGTTTCAACCAGGTTTGGGGTGCATTTTATAGGGCTGGTCCTTGTGAACCGCACGTGCAGCATGAGTTGCATGAAAAACATGGAGAACATCGTGCCATCTCCGAGATCAGGTTGCGTTTTTGAGACCATTTCCTGGGTTCCATTCTGAGTTTGGGAAGGAATGTCTTTGCTCAGGTAAAGTTGGAGAAAAATGTTCAGTCAAAATATTAATTGAGTTTACAGTTATCCGTTTCTGCGACGGAAAATTCCAAACTGACGTTTCCTTTGCTGCTTAGTATAATTTGAGTCGCAATGTTCATCGAACAAGATGGAAAAGGATATTGACTAGATGACATATTTGTCCAGGTCTTCTTACCCCAATGTCACAATATCATTCGGAAAGTATGTTCCAGTGACTATGATATCGATCGTAATTACTTATGTCTGAGTCTACTGCCAATACTATGAAAATAGACGTGAGAAAACATTCCCATAATTATACGATACTCAGAGCAGATTCATCAATTACCATTCTCCTTGTGATCCACTTATATATCACCGAATCGTTTCCTTATCGAATTCAACATGTGTTCACATAACTTTAAAGCCTAGTTGATAGTGCTGTAAAAGCTGTCATTGACCCCGTTAACGTAGCCGTATACGGCATGGTTTTAGTCATCAAATGTTAACTTAGGCATGTAGGCCTAATCCGAAATAGATAGAATCTAGTTAAATTGTAATGTCCTCTACCATTTGACATAGACATCGGATTTTCACACCGTGGAGCTGTCGAAGCATTGCCGTTTGGTTCCTTGTCTTTGTTATCAGCATGCAAAATATACTATCCAAAAAGGAAACGCATAGGCGTTTTGTATTTTTAAAAATCTATTATTACCTATTGTGTTCAAACAATCGTCAAAATATGTAACAAAAGTGCTGATAACATGATTTTACACAATTGCACAAGTAAAAAATCGACTTTACCTAAAATGTTGATTTTGATGAGATTTCTTACAAGGATTAACACGGAACAGGTTGAGAGAGATTGAACTGAGAGCCAGGAAACGCGACGTCGGGACCGTGCTACGTCGTCACCATCGCACTCAACGTCTCCGTTATCTAAAATTATGCACTTGGGTGTATAGACATTTCCTTCTTCTAAAAGTTCATGTACTAAAGTGTAATTGTGGACGAGTTATACATGTTTGAAAATACAACATTTTCGCAACAGAGTTCTGGGTTATGCGTCTCTTTTTTGAATAGTATATAATAACTCCAACTTCAATGGCACATGATGCAATTCTTATCCCTTTACATGGCTCCAGACCTAGCTTGTATCGAGTTCAATGTTCAACAATCCCAACGCGAACTGCTTTTGCCTGAACGTGATACTGAACTGAATATAAGGTTCACGTTCAGCAATATTCTAATACTATCATGGTCACAGTGTCCAACAAGGATTGGTTTAAGACACTAAACCTACGAGAGCAACCACAAGACTACGTTGCCACTGAACTGAAAAAAGAGACAACATCGAATATTCTCCATTTTTTATCTACGTTTATTGATAGACATGAGGCTATGCAAAGCAGGTTGTGATAAAGAATCCCCCAAACAATCACCGTGGATGATATTAAAGTTACACATGTACACATACTCAGACTGGTTAAAGAATTATGCGTAAACTTCTGTCTTTTTCGAAATTTAAGATGGATGATTATCCGATTGCTTTACACATATCGAATCTGTAACAGACTTTCTGATTCAAGAATGCAATCAATACCTTTTTTGTTTTCCTTCACAGAGATTTTTGCGCAGAATATGTTTAGTTACAGTTTGCATTGAATATTCCGAGCTCATAAAGTAAGATATGATCAGGAGAGTGACCGGCAGGTCATCACAGGAGCCGACGTTGATCACATCCGGACGTCACGTGACAAAGGCGGCTGGTACCTGGTGTAGCCTCCGGTAGAAAGAGAGACATACAGTGAAAAGAAGTGATGTACTAACTAGACATGTCCTATTTCATCCATTCTGGCCAACTTGACATTATTGATTCTTGGCCAGCGGCGATCGCGATTGACTTTCGGAGGACTGTAGATAGGAATCATATTGAGCAGCATGATGTAAAGTTAGTTTTAAGAAACTCACATATAACGCTTCTTTATACTAGCTTGTCAGAATTACGTTGAATCATGGGATACCGTGTGTGAATGTAGCATCTGTTTTTGTCATTGATTGTGAGTATGTCCCTTTCTGTTATACTATCGGACGAGGACGCCCCCTCAGTTCCATAGTGTGAAATGAACATCTCTTTCCCGTACGTATTAAAAGATAATTCTTTGAAAGATGATAGACGGAGTCTGATCGCCATCATCGTGTTGAAATGTTTGTCTGACTGATTACGTGATTGTAGCATATAGAGCTACTATATTTAAAGTGTTCTGATCAATGTTCCATATGTATAACAATAACGTGCTTTTAAGGTCTACTAAGGCGTGATAAAATACAGATTGATTCATGTCGCATTGGGACACTTTTATGGTCATCGTGAAGTTTGGTTTATTCTCTATGGATTTTTCCTTCAGATTGATGTATAGTGTCGCCATATTTAAAGATAAGTGGAAAATAACATACTTACAATTCTCAATAGAACGTATACACCATCATACGACATAAACAATGAGGTTTCTCATCCCACTTGCACTTTTCGTCTCAGCAAGATGTATTCACCCGTATGACGACATACCCAATAAATTGTTGGGCGTCTTTCAACATACAAGTTACAAGATTATTGCCACTTTTTGCGAACATGTGTCTTCATTCTCCATTGGATAATGGCATGACAATACATTGATTTTCTGCAAATTTGTGAGCACTGTGATGCATTAAAGCTAAAGATCTGTATGCAGAAACAGACTCCCTTGAAGCCTGTAAAGTAACTGGCACCACTTAATTTCACTATATGTAGTATCATAGATGGTAAAACATACCAGCATTGGAAACTTGAAGTGAGCCAAGAGGAATAAATTAAGCGTTATATAGCTGGATTCCACTTACCCTTTAGCTTAGAATAGATGAGACTTTCCTTGGTAGTCATCAAGGTTATAGTTCTGTCATCCATGCCTCAGCCTGTCGGTCACAATGAGACACTATCTGTTTGATAGCGGATTGCAACAGCCAGAATTTTATGGTTTAAGTGTCTCGCAAAGACGATTTCTATAGTGTATGGTTTCATCATAAAACTCACTTCGAAGCACAAGAGTTATATAGATAAGATTTCACCCGCTCTAAAACAGTCTCTTTTCACCAAAAATACGATTGATGACTCGATGGACATACGAACTGACAGGGGATCGTATCATTGTTGACGTCATATGTGACTTCTCAGCTCGACACAGTGGTCAACATTAAATCTGCTACATCTTTACTTTAGCCCCTTATAATGTGCGAATAAAAATAGATTATTGCAATGGTGGGCGAACTGCATCGGTGGCTCTTCAGGTACTTGCTCCATCCACGCGTTTCTAACATTCGTATAGTAAACTAATAACGACAAGCAAGCAGTCAATGAATATGTTCTGCATTTTTCACTGGTTATTTATTGATGTATTATTGCCAGTCCAAACTGACCCTTTATGCATTGATTTAATTAGGGAATAGACGAGGCATTGCACTGGTCATTTTCAATCCATTCCCTATATATATATTTGCATACGATGTAAACAAACATCTTTAGTCTATTGCATCTCAATCAACAGTAATATACGAGGAATCTTCCATGCCTCACATGCCCAGTGAAGTACAAAGCGAGCTAGTCAGACATTGTATCATGGGGCTTCTTTCTTTCTTCTGACTTCGCCGTTTGATCTTTGCAAGATACATATTACCGATGGCAAAGTGGCTTTGTTACTTCCGTTCACTGAGTTGCACTTGCATGATCGTGGCCTTCACCCATGATAGATGAGGGACTTGTAAGTTACATCCAGGCAGTTCTAATAGGTTTATCGGTGTCAACCTTAGTGATAGTGGGTTTCTTATACAATGTAGAACGGAACACTTGCAACATTGTCTGATGTTAAATTTCGCATTTCTTGCATATCGTCTAATGACCTTTGCCCACCAGCTTACACCACAGTAATTATTACTAAACTATAAGCTGTAAATATACACAAAGTCACTCCCTGAGGGCTGATTTCAATGATCAGATATTTGAAAACACTACGATGCTATGCATCTAGTAAATACTGACGATATTCGCCATCCACTGTCCATCATCTTAAACTATCCACTCCATATTCACCACCCACTTCCCATCAACCAGTGAATATGATCCATTGACAGTCATCAAGTACACACCATCCAGTATTCCAATGTTCATAACTCTAAATTGAATATTTACCGTTCAATATCCACTAACCAATACCCACCGCCCACTTGCAACAATCAAGTACTGGCCATCGAGAAGTCATCGTCAAATACTCACCTTTCTCTTTTCACCACCAAATATCCATCACATATATCTTATCCTAAAGTCTCATTATCCCCTATTCACCATTCCCTTCAAACAATCAACACACCATCCTTTTCTCTGCTTCTACAGTGCGCTATTGTACTGAAGCAGACATTATGTTTTCTACAATTATGCATCTATGCAGAATGTCCTGTGCACTAATGTCATTAATAAACCAATTTCCTCAAGGTTATGTTCCTATGGACAATTGCCAAGATGTATTTGGAATTTGAATTGCTTCACGTACGTATAAACAGCCAAAAAGATTTTTGGCGGGAAAGGAACTACTTTCACACACCAGTCACACACTATCGATTTTAAAACTCAAAAGGCTTGTTTCAGAAACCATCACTCATTTGTTCACGTTTGAGTACAATTGACGTGGTAAATGCTGAAACATTATCCTTTGACATAATCTATAGTTTTAGATGAACATATAAAGCATCCTTGGTTCCATTATTAAGTGGCTAAAGATATTTGCTACGAGCTCTGAAGATTCTGGTTCCTGCTAACAAGATGATCCGTTTACATCATTTGTCACACATCTGATATTTTGTTTCATAGACAATAATTGCTTTGATAATAACCAATTAAGAATAATTAATTTAATTTGATAAAGTAATGAGAAATGAGGCTCATTTATGTTTTGTATTCATTATCTAAATTTGTGGTACAGATTAGGATAGTCTCCTTTTTCATAACATGTTGATGGCCTGGTCATTCATTAGTCCTCAGCTGAAGGTAGTCAACGTCACAAATGAATTTATATCATACTGTAATGTTAACAATGAAATAATCATGGAGCTGCAATTATGCAGCTGTGTAAGAAGTTATGGTTATTTTTCATTATCGTCCAAATTGCAGTTGATACGTATTTAGGGCCACTAAACGTTCGTTTTACTCAGAGGAAGTGAATTAATTTCACTAACTAATGCTGAACATATGTAATACGTCTTGCTGTCAATGTCCATATCTCATATCAAACATATAAAGGGGGATAATGGAAGTGGTTGTATAAACTATAACAGATAAGTGTTGATTGACGCTCTCGCTGTTTTGGCACATATTGGACTATATTTTTTATATGATATTATAGAGATAAATTTAGAATAAGGTCAGCTGTGAATATTGGCTTATTTTGCCATATTTTATTCCCCTAATTCTGTTTGGTGAAGTGCTGTTTGCACGGACTTCTTATCCCACTTGGCAACGTTTGGCGAAGTGTACGTTGGTTGTCGATATGGATATGGATTTTTAGGGGCATGAAGATGATGATACCCCAAACACATTCTAGAAAACATCTAGAATCTGGACGCTGAATTTGCCGAAAATTATATCACAACGGTATCCCCAAAACATAAACACTATGACGTGTCTCAGAATGAATATGTCTCTGATGTGCCAACCAAACCTGTAGTTATATTTTTCACCAGTTGATCATTGACATACCCAAAAGTACAGGTAAGTAACAAAAATTAGAAAACGTGGCTAGTGATTCTTGCAAATCGTCTGCTCAGTTCTGGGGGACCTTTGCCCCTACATCAGTTTGGGACATTCGTGTCAAGAGCAGTGTCCCGAAGAGTCTGAGCCAGAGCAAGTGAGTCATTTACAATGTGACTTTGATGTGAACATTGAGGATATTTTTCAAATACTTCGGGTCAAAGGTTCATGGAGTCTCAGCCTTTACATACAAATATACAAAGGAAAGGAAAACAAATCACCACTTTTATTTTGCTTACGTTTGCAACCCCTCGTCTTCCTGAACGCGTCAAAACGAACTTTTAGTCATTTCGGATACAACATTTTGTTCCCAAGCTGTGAGCTGCTACAATTGTCAACCTATTGGCCATCTTTCATCTCAATGTTGAAGTAAGACTCCTATACGCACAAGACGTAGTGGGGACAATAAGGTTTGAGGACTGTAGAGGTGGGCCTGTTTTCAAATGCCGTAATTCTGGAGGTGATCACGGTGCTGCCTTTGAAGGCTGCCGAAACTATAACTAAGACGTATATGACAATTAGAATAGACAAAATGTGTGATAAACCGAGGTTGCTAGAACTGTCAAGGCTAATTCTTCACCCACCTATGCAGGCTCTCTGAAAAGCCATATTTCACCTGCATTAAACAAGACACCACAAGTACACCAAAACCACAATCTGTACCAAATTCTCTCCCTTGTTGTTCATGCAACTGTTCTGTGCATATTTCAAAAATAGGTCAAGCTCGATCAACGAAATAAGCACCAATTGAAACTATTCCTTTGGCTCAGCAACCATTCCTGCTGGTTCCCCTAATAATTCCTGACTTTCTTGTTCGAAGTCATTGTCGGTTGTTTCAACACAACTAGCAAAGAAGGGCAAATAAAATGAATGGTATCTTTTGCAAGAACTCATTTCATGATGCGTCAAGAGATATCTTGCATAATTTGTATGTTGACAAAGAATAATGGACAGAGTTCGCGTTTCTCTCACTTTCTTGCC